TACTCTGGATATAAGCTATTCTCTCGACCTTCTCGCTTCACTCTTCAAATATGTGTTTTTTTTTTTGTGGGACCCTCACCGGCGGCGGGGGAACAAACCGGCACTGCAGAGGCTGCGGGCAGCCTCGCAGCCTAGCGCTTAACCGCTGCGCCACCAGGGGAGACCCCAGATATGTTTGTTTTTTAATTATACAAATGATATACAAAAAAATTGCACAAATGCATTCTGATACAAAAATATTATCTATCATAATAATATCTATTTCCCAGAGTCTTAAAGTATTTTAGAGGTTTAATCCCAAACTTCTGTCTTATTGTATTTTCAGATTTCCTCAACTGCATTTACCATTTTTTTAAATAAAATATAACGGAAAAAATATCAAGTAACAATATAAAACTTGCTAAACTTTAACCCAAACACAATTGCAGTAATTGGAGGTTCTGCTCTTTGTGCCAATAAAGATGGTAGTTATCAGGAAAAAAATAGACATCTTATCCCCAAAGTAATATAAAAATCTAATAATTTTTTGGGCTAGCAGTTTAATCAGAATAAAACCAGTAAGAAAGGCATTTTACGATACAAAAGTCAAACCTTGCACAAAAAGTATATTATGGTACAGCCTGTCCCAGCTAAGGACTGGAAGTCTCTGAGATCTCCACAGCCACTGGGACAGAAGGGAAACAAAGGTGCTAAAATTACTTTTGCCCCTGGTAGGGCTTAGGTCCTCCTCTCTCGTGGCACTGTACCCAGTGATGGGTTAGTTGTTTTGCTTTGTTTTGAGAAAATGCCAACTTCAGCCCAAGATCATTCTGGTTTGTTCCGGGCTATGCAGTAAGGAACCCATGTGCTCCTTTGGGGAGGGCCTGCTGTGCCCAGCTAGACTGGTAAGTCTGCCTAATTCTGGGGTAAAATGTTAGCAAGATCGCTGGCTCATTGCTTGGTCATATGCCCCACTTTTATTGATCAGCAATTTCTCTATTGGGTTCCAGTGTCTCATTCCTGATTTGACCTCAACTTAGTTGTCTGATGCCCTAAGACCCAAAGCAACCCTTGTAATCATCTCAAGAAGTAAACAGGCTGCATAAAAAGAAGATTAAAAAAAAAAAGGAGTTACTTCTGGAAGTTGGGTTATCATCTGCTAAGGGCTCTGAGGTAGGCCGTCCTTAGAGAAATGGCACACAGACCTTCGGTTCTGACTACCAGACTTCCATACTAGAGGATCAGACTCCCCAACAAAGTAGGGAGAAAAAGGTCTGGCATCAGTGTTGACGTGTCAGTGGGGAAAGGACAACCACAGAGAATGATTAACAAAAGCTGTGTAACGTAGAGAATTCAAGGGAAAGCACTAGCAGAAAGTAAGGTTGTATCACACTTGATGTCACAGTGGATTCAGTTGTCTGGCAGGTAGAACTGAACAAGTCAGAAAATCAATTTTTTTAAGTGAAGATAACAACGACTAATAATAATGGAAAGATCTGATTCTTAAGATTGTAAAGAAAAATCACTCAGAAAGTTATCTGATGGAGTAGAAAATTTAGGATGGCGGTGTCCAAGAGTAGAAAATTTAGGATGGTGGTGCCCCGAGACCAGAACCTGGAGGTGGGGGTAGAAATGATTACCATAGTCTTAAACCAGCTATAGAGAAGAAAAATCCCTGGGGGAGGGGGCCCTCTGTGGCTAGACTGACAGCTATACAAGGTATGCTGAGGCACAGACCAGAGGTGGAGAGATGGAGATTAAGGGCCATTAGACAATCATCAGGCTTTAAAATTAACCCAATCACACCCTTAAAATGATTAATGTAACAATAGATAACGATTCCACAAAGGAATGCTCCCCTCCCCCAAAGAACACTGTATCAGAACAATTTCTGCATTGGCAAAAGGCAGCTCTTTCTGCCCACTTGTGTCTGCAGGAATCTTCTCCCTTCCTTTCTTCCAACAGTTCTTTTAAAAATGGGACCTTCACCTGCCTGCATCTGTGCAAACGTCTTCATCAGCTGGGTAAACCTGCCTGGTGCACTGAAAGGGGAACTCGGCAGAAACTTTTCTCAGAGGAGACCCAAAGCGCCCACTCCCTGAACCCAACATCTCACCAAAACATCCTTGTTCATTCATCTCTGAAACACAAGTGGGGTGGGGGGTGGGGAGAGAAAGAAGACCTATAAAAGGAGCAGGAAATGAAAGACTAAGAGAGGTGAAGGCCAAGCAATGGGGCAGGTGACAGTGGCTGATAACGCTCCTGGAAACCAGTCGACCCACCTGGACGCCCCAGACAGGGGGTAGGGCCGCAGGCCTGAGTGACAAAAGTCAAACCTTGCACAACCTTGGGCGCTTGCTCAAGGTTTAAAAAAAAAATCACCACGGAGGGCTTTTCTTACTCTAGACTGCAGGGTGGAGAAGTAATGGGGGTGGAGGTGGGCTGGGGGGCCGTGGGCAGAGTATACAGCAAGCATCTGCTTCATGGGGCTCCCCTAAGCGAGGGCCTGCTCCCGCTCGGGGTGGCCAAGCACCTGCTGAGCCACTAACTGGGCGGGGTGGCCACTTGGAGACGGAGCTTCTGAAGCTGACTGGCATGGAATCAGCCAATAAAAATCTAATCTGGATGAAGAGCGGCGGCCCAGCCCCAAGAGCCCTGGCGCTACGGGTCATAGGAGCCGCCAGGTTAGAGGGACTGGCAGAACAGCTAAAACCCCGGGCTCCCGCTATTTTCTCATGCATGACAAAGCGGTGCAGTCATTAAATAATCGGTCCACCATATCAATGCATATGGCTGCTTATCAGTCGAGATAGAGTGGCCATTTATATTCTTTTGTCTGAGAATTTTTTTTTTTTTTTGAGAAATGCTTTTTTTTTAATGCAATCATGTGATTCTAACAGAAGCTTGCAGGTCGCGTCTCCTATAGGACAGTGTTTGGTCTGGGAATAGATGGCGACTGGGAGTAGATTGCTAGGACTGTTACTTATTAGTCTTCATTACCCAACCCAGCCTCTGGCATCTAATAATGTAAACATGTAATTTAGCACTCAAGAATTATTTTAAAATAGATGGATACAAGACTCTGTAATTGCTTTATTTGACCTCACTTGTAAAAATCTCTGCAGACTTCAGATTCAGCTTTAATGGAAAATCATATCCCCTTTTAGTTGATTTACATATGTGTTTTACTCGGTTTTCTTTGGCAAGTTTTAAGAGTTGCTGGCAGCTCTAACTATGGTTTTTGGGCTTCTCTTAATTTTTTTTTTTTTCTAGTACAAACTTTACAAGCTCCAGGATTCTTGGGTTTTATCATTTTCACAGTGTTGTCAGGTCTGAGGTGCAGAAAGGTTATACCGAAACGTTACAAATTCTTAAATTCTGAAAAATGCTTGCTGTACCCTTTTTCACTCAGTGTAAAAGAATTGAGAACATGCCCTATATCGGTCACAGGTCAATGTTATTACACAATCCTGCATTGTACAAAGGACGAGAGCTCAAAGGCAATACCTGGGTGTGAATGAGATGACCAAATCAGAAGCAAAAGCAACTTACATGCCAGAGTTTCTGAAGTCTAAGCACTGGACAGTTTCAAACTGAAATAACTCTAACCTTCTTTGGAGGCGTGCTCTGTGACTGCAGAAGAATACTGTTCTCTCCCTGGAATCATAGTTTCAACTGTGTAAAGGATGTCAAGATTACCTAGTGTGTCTAAGAGAAAATAAGAGGTGGGAATATGAATATTGTGTTCCAAGTCTAGGGTGATTTTGCATTCTTCTTTCACGCCCCTCCCCCGCCTCCCCCAGCCATTGATTCTGCATTCTTCTATTGGTTAGTTTGGGGGAGTTGTAAGAGAAGCTGAGCCAAAAAGGGGGGTTATTATAAAGAAACAATGATGTTTCATGGAATCAGTGGGCAGAACTAGAGTGAGGAACTGGCAAGAAGTTGGGACCTTTACACTAAATCTGCTTCTCTGCTCCATGGAACAAATCCCTTAGTTGAGACACTTGTATCATTACTGAAGTTGTTCCAGCAGAATGACCATCATTTGAGATTGTGGCAAGTATGTCCTTACAAAGTGGGAAGTCAGGTCAATTTAATTCTATGGGCTATTATAAATGTAAGATATTATGATTTCACCAAATTAGGGAACTGTATACACAAGGATTGCCTTCCATTTCACTTTTATTGTTGTTTTATCCACATTCCAATACTTTATCTTTTGCACAGAGCCTATCACTAGGTCTTACCATGTCTTCTTCCCAAAAGTTTCTCAAGACATAATACTATTTTCTCCGTCTGACTATAAAGCAGTAGGTAACAAAAGTATGGGTTTTTAAATCTACAGTTAAGACAGAGCTTCATGAAGATTAAGGGCACAGGCTTTAGAGTGTAACCTGAGCTTAAATCCTGTTCCCAGCAGTGCTAGCTGTGTGATATTGGGAAAAGATCACATTCTGAGGCTTTTATCCAACTACAGAGGGAAACTTTATATTAAAAAGCCTCATGACATTGTTTGGTTTAACAGCTAGTATCCATAAAGCATTTAGAAGTGCAAAACACCAGGCCTCACTGGTTGCCCAAGGGGTTAAGCACCGCACTATGAAGCAATCGCAGCCTCTGCAGTATGAGTTCGATCCCCGGGTGGCCAGGGAGCAACCTACATGGCACAGCAGACCTCTCCTGACTCGCCCGCTGCTCCCCTCAGCAGTGTATTTCAACAGTCTGCCTGTTCTGTTCCCCACTCTGTCTCTGGTGAATCCTCTCACCCCCCAGCATCTCTGGCCTGGACCCCAGCTCTTATATGCTTAAATAAATAAATCTTTGAAAAAAAAAAAAAGGAGAAGAAGAAATGCAAACCACCACCTGAAGTCAGCATCCAGAGGAGCGGGCGGGGTCTTGGAAGTTGCCAAGGGCGGAGGCGACACCACGGAACTACCGAGCCGGTAGCTGCGGTTCTCGGGGGGGACGCGAATTCTGAGGACCGGAAGTGGCCGGCTCAGGCGCTCGCTTCCGGCCACCTCAGCGGGAAGCGGAGACGCTCGCAGCGGGATCTGCGGGCGCTGGGGCGGCGGGTCGCTGTTGTCGCTGCGAGGCTCCGGGACGACGCCCGCGGCCGCGGGGGGCCAGTGTTTGAGTCCCTGTAGCCTGTGAAGATGGTGTTGCTCACGATGATCGCCCGGGTGGCGGACGGGCTGCCGCTGGCCGCCTCCATGCAGGAGGATGAGCAGGTGAGCCCCTGCCAGTCCCGGCGGCCGCGGGGCCCTCACCCCAGGGCGCCCTTCTGAGGACGGGGCGCGTCTTGCGACCCCCCAGGCCCCCCAAAAGTGCCCTGGCGTCGTTTGGTCGTGGAGAGACTACCTGGACGGGGAGCGATTTCCTGCCGCCGGGGGTTACTGCGTTACCTGTTTTCTCTTTGGGAAAACGTTTGAAGAAGGACTAGGTTCGGCCGATCGAGACAACCCGGTGTTCTTTAACGCCGGGGAATTAAAATTACGAATTAAAATTAAAAATCAGGGCTTCTAAGTTCGTGCTGCTGACAAGTCTGCCGACCGACAAGTCCTGCAAAAAATCGGTGCCTCAGTTCTTCAGCTCTTTTCACTCTGTGCAGCAGCTGATCCTTGACCTGCTTGCTGACATCTTTTGGATGTGGGCGAGGTGGTGTTGCCACAGAGAGGCACCTGTCTGAAGATCAGTACAATACCTTCTTTTCAGGTTGTGCCCAATTCCCTCCTCCTCCTGTGTGCCTGGCTACATTGCTGCTGTTGGAAATTAGAATCCCTGTGTTAATATTCCTGTAACGCTTTGTCCTTTTATTTTACTATTTTTCTTTTGCCTTTCAATGCATCGAGTTTCTTAGCAGGCAAACCACAGATCTTAATCGTTGTGTTCCCACAGCTTTCCCAATCGTGGTCTCATGCCAGCGGGTGCTCGAAAATGTATTGATTTAAAAACCGCACCAGCAATTTGAGATAGCTTGAAGAGAAGCAGCTTTGTGCCTTCGAATCAGGAAGGGGAATTTCTGGTATGGAACAAGTTTCTAGAGCAAGGAGAGGGGGGTCTTAGAAGAAAGGAGGCTGAGAATGAGGGTCAGTTTTATTTTACAGTCTCGTAGAGCATAAGTAGTTAAAAAACAAAAAACAGCCCTACAGACTTAAGAAAAGGTGAACTCTAGAAAAAAAAATATTTTTCATATCTTTTCTGAGACTTTTCATTCATATATTTATGCCAAAAAAGCACAGCAAACTGCCAAGCATGGTGCTAAAGCTGGTATTTAGAGGACATAGGCCTGCTTTTCTTGTTGTTTACAGTTTAGTGGAAAAGCCAGGTAACTAACCAGCAATTATAATATAGCATAACTGCTATGGGAGAGGAAGAAGCTTCCACAGTTGAAGAAGGAAGAGTAATCTAAGTTGGTTTTGGGAGATCTGGAAAGTCTTCCCAAAAGTAATGACAGCTAACCTGACATTAGGATCTAGAAGTAAGGAAAGCTTCTGTTTGATTGTATTCTTTTTTAGGTTTAATGTAGAAATACGTCTACCTCCACTTTTAGGAGAACAGTGATACAATTCAGAAGCTGTAGGTCCTGCTAAGTGAAGTATTATTTATTCATTTCACAAAAACAACTCTAATCATTTGTGAAAAATACAGCTTGCCCTGATTTTTCAACTGTGAAATGTTTTTCTTGTGCGATTTATGAAGAATTTTCTAGGACCGCTCCGCAGGAGGAGTGAAATATGTGGAAATGAATTCAGAAACATAATGGAAATGGTGTGGGGAAAGTTTCTCTGAGGGATACGTACTTTGACTGCAAAATAGTTTTCAGGGGGAGAGGGGATCTAGTTAATTTCCAACAATTATATTGAGTCTCAATGTGAGCAGAGAATACAAGTGCATTTGAAAGTCTAATATTAGTGGGCCCTACTCCCTCCCTTGATACTTTATTGAAAAATCAGCTTATATATTGTATGTTTCTAGATTAAATTCCAGGTTAGGTATTGGTTTACGAAGATAGGTTGCGTTGTTTAGTTGACATGGAAAGAAATTTTACACAAAAGTTTTTGTGGTTGTAATTTCATAGTGATATTCTTTAGGAATTTTTTTCTTTGGATAACACTTTAAGCTTTTAATATCTGCAAAATGTGAGTCCTAGACTTTTAGTATCATAATAGTATACAGAACATTTATAAGATGCCTACTGCATACCAGATAATGTGCTAATAAGCTATCAAGTGCATTCATTCATTCAGTTTTCATACAACCGCATTAGGATAGATATGATTATTATTTCCATTTATAGATATAGGAGCTCTGAGGCTTAGAGAAGATAGGTCAGTTCCATAATAGGTCAGCTAATAGGTCAGCTAATAAATAGCATCACTGAGTTTTTTCATCAGGGTTTCTTAACTTCAGCCCTACTGAAATTTGGGGATGATAATTCCTTGTTGTGGAAAACTGTCCTGTATGTGGCGAGGTGTCTGGCTGCATCCTGGCCTCTGCACTTCTGCACTGCTCTCACAGCCTCCAGCTATAATATAACAATCAGAATATTTCCAGACATTGTGAAATGCCCCTAGGGCTAGGGTGGGGTACAAAAATCATCCCTCATTGAGAATCTCTGATTTTTAACCATTCTGTAACTCTAGACTAGATCCTTTGTGCTTAACTGCTACACGTTAATGCCTTGTTCTAAGAATTTTTAATAATGTATTTACTTCTCAGGAGTCCAGACATAACTTAAGAAACGGCTGTCTCCACCAAATAGTTTCATAGCTAGGTACCTTAATTGTCTAGGGCAAATAATTCAACATATTTACCCTGATAATAGATATTTAGGTGGTTACTGATAATAAGGTAAACTGCCTTATTATTGAAAATGAACAGTTGCTCAAATAAAAATAAAGACACTCACAAGAATATCTTATGCACTGTTACCTAGAAATGTAGGCCTAGGGCAAGCAGAGATGAACCTTTCCAACCTAGACTCCCTAACTCATACTTTTTCTTCCTTTCTAGTATGTTTCTCCTTTTCAGATGTTTGCCGTTTCTTCATTTACCTTTCCATTCTATGTCAAAATGAACAAAATGTTTTCCATTTTATTCCAGCTCTGTGGACTTGAAGGCGTTGAATACAACCAAGTAGACACCAGTTTGCTCCAGGAAACTAGTTTGTTGTGCAGTTGAACTGCCGTACTCCCCCAGTCATCAGGGTTTCATTAATCACCTTCCTGTAATTGCTCTTAGAGGAAAATGGTTGGTTCCTGCTGCTGCTGGCCTTTGAACAGCTGAGTTCAACAGGGATTTAAAAATGATAAGAGCTTAGCCAAACATGCATATAAAGCTATTTGATGCAACTAGTTCAGCATTCCTAGGTGACAGCGATAAAAAATGTTCTGATTGTGTGGACATCAGCACCCGGTGCCTTTATGTGCATAGTTAGGATCCAGATTAGTTCCAGAATTTGTCTAGAAATTCACATCTTCTTTATTAGGTTACTCACAGTTATCTTTCCATATACTGTATACAAAGTTCATCAAGTCTATTCTCGATGAAGTCGAAAACAGAATTAGGCCATCTAATTTAATTTTTTTAGGTAGACCGGCTGACTGTGGGCCCTTTGTGCCTTTAATCTTTTTATTTTTTTGGTGGGACCCTCCCCGGTGGCCGGATCCAACTGGCGCTGCAGAGGCTGCGGGCAGCCTTGCAACCCAGTGTTTAACTGCTGCACCACCAGGGGAGGCTCTGTGCCTTTAATCTTAAAAGCAAACTGAGGGTCTGTCTGTAAAGCAGTGATTATTTTGTTTTGTGAGATCTAGGTCAGGGCTGCTACCTGGTTGCTTTTCCTATGAATTAGATGTAATAATAAATAGTAGGATATCATCTAATAGGTGGATCTGCTACTGTCATTATATGAATAAAACTAATGTAGTGATGGCAATTATATCTCAATCAATAGCTAATTTTTAAAAATTGAAAGAAAAAATTGTGACCTCTGCCTTACTCCTCTGGTTCACCTCATGATTATTTTTCTCTTACGTTGAAATTTCTATTCACCATTTTAATTATAGTTTAGAATCCTGTGCTTATAAATTTGCTTAGCTGCAAAGGTAGATTTTATCATTGCTTCCTCATTTTTACTGTTAGTTCAGTGGTTTGCTATCTTAAAGTTAGACCTCAGATTGAGTTTTTGGGAAAATCTGGGATTAATACTTTGCTATTTAAATAGTTAAGCATCTGTCAAAGGGAGACAGTGTTTATCCTTCAATCCAAAGTAAAATAAAACCTTTCCCAGCTCATGGCAAAAGTTGTTTTCCCCTAACTTTGTGAATGAGGAAGTAATGTGTATTTGCTTTCCATTCTCCACACACTTCTTCCCCCCTAGTAGTCACTAGTAGGTTAGTGACACGGCTGTTTTCCTCTGTAGATGTTTTCTTTTTTTAAAAAAAAATTGTTAAATAACTTAGGAAAATATTGCGTGTAACTCTAGCATCCATATATTACTGTTTTCATTTTTGGATGCTTCTGTCCCTTACTCTCTGAACATCTGCTATTCAAACTTGGGTACCAAATATATCTGTTCGGTAAAGGATAGCTGCCTTTCCAATCTTTGTCTTTACTCTTGGTCTTTTCATGCAGTTGTAGTTACGATGATCAGATAATCTGTAGTCATGGTGCACATGTTGAGTTTTGCTTGAATGCTTAATACTCTAATACCTTGTGGAAGATTTTGCTTGCTGTTACAGCATAAAAAATAAAGATTCACCGTTTTGTTCCCAGGATTTTCCCCCGAGTATAGCACATCCTGTACAGGTCTGTGTCAGTAACTGAGCAAGTGAAGTCAGTTACGAGAAGGGCCCTGATATGATACTGGAAAGAGCACTGGAGTGAGAGTTTGGGGCGCCTTAACGTAGTACGCTCTGCTGCTCAGCAAATGACTCGTGATTTTTTTTTTAAATCCCAGAGTGTGTGTTTGAACTTTTTCCTCCCTCCTTCTCCTCTTCCCTCCCTCCCTCGTTCTTTCTCTCTTTCCTGTCTCTCTCTCTCTCTCTCTCTCTCCCCACTCCTTTTTCCACCTCCTTCCCTCTTCCCTCCCTCCTGCCCTGTCACATCCCTTGTGTCCCCTCGCCCTCCCTTGTAACCCCGGAGCTCTCAGCATGTTTATTGATGCCCACTGGCTTTTGAAAGTGTTTTATGTGATCTGACTAATGTGATTTTCTTGAACAAGGGGTTTGCTTTTCCTTTCTGCTCTAAGAGCAAGCCACTTTTCTTGTTAATATGAATCTTAGTCCTATAAATGAATCTTATTCATGAAGTGTCCTTTGATGTTTTCCACTAATTGATACAACTTTTTTGGGGGAAAATTCTTAAACGAAGGTATCTTTATTTTCAGTCTGGCCGGGACCTTCAGCAGTACCAGAGTCAGGCTAAGCAACTCTTTCGAAAGCTGAATGAGCAGTCCCCGACCAGGTGCACCCTGGAAGCGGGCGCCATGACTTTCCAGTGAGTATAAACCTGATGTCTTTGTGATCATTTAAGAATGAAAAGCAGTGAGTGTAAGCAATACCTAGTAAGAATGGTAACAATTTTTTTTTTGAAGTAAGAATAACTTTAAATATATAGTCTTTTCATGGAAGCAACTTCCTGGCTCTAATCTGCAAAACTAAAGTCTTGGTTAGCTTAGCCAAGTTGTACACAATGGTTTAGCCTGCTCGCCTGTGTCAGCGAATAATATATTCATCACACACATATAGATAACTTTTGTTCTCAGGTCTTCTCAGAGCCAGGTACTGTAGGTTAGTGCTTTTGCTAAAACATTTACTAACAGTATAACCTTGAGCAAGTTACCTAAGTTTCTCCATGCCTCAGTTTCTGCTGTAAAGTGGGGGAAGTAATCATAGGAGCTTTGCGAGAATGATAAGGGAATCCACGTGCATCTTAACATCTTGTCTGTCACATAAAGAATAGTCAAGTGTTATTTACAAAAGGGGATTTGTAAAAGATAATTTGAAAGCATCTAAATCTGTGGTTAGAGACATAAAGCTGAGAACAGAGATCAGAGGTACTTTATTGGATTTTAAATTACTACAAATGGTTGGTATCAAATATTTAGTATTTATCAGGTTCGAGGTGATAAGATGAGAATGATTAAGAGAAAAAAGAGGACAAGAAAATCAGAGGAAAAAAATATTAATTAGCTAAATAATCCTTGCTATTTTAGGAATTTAGTACTAAGATAATACTGACCTGAGAGGATTCTTCTCTGTTTAACTTAAAAAAGAAAAGCCTGTCACCCACAACAACAACAACAAAAAAAACCCAGCCTATGGGTTGGAAAAGTAATGGATATTACATTTCACAAGTTATCAATTTGAAGGGTGTATTGTATGAACATTTCCTATAAATCTAATTTTCAACATCAAAAAATATAGGTATGTAATTATATAGTATCTTTCGCTCTACCACAGGCCTAGAAGAGTTCTCATGGAATTAAAAAGAAATTTTTCTTTTTCCTAGGTCCTTTAGGATGTTTACTCTCATCCAAGAGCTATTTATTAAAGCTATTTATTTTTTGCCAGACCATGTATTAAATCCTTCCTTTTATGTCCACACTTTTTAATGAGCTTATCTTCTTATTAGCAGAGAGACATGTAGGCAAACAACCATGCTGTAATACCTCAGGGCAGGAGGAACTGTCATGGGGTCTAAGTGAAATGCTTTGAGAGCAGCAAGAAGGAAGCATAAATGCCTATTTGGAGGGGTAAGTTGGAGGAAGGAGAGGAGAGGGAGGGAGAATACAGGGATAATTCACAGGAAAAATTACAGTGGAATTGTGCTTATGAAAACAGACAAGACTTCTCCAGGTACATGGAAGTGCATTAATATTAGAAAACACGACATAAGCAGACGTCTGTGAGCACAGGAAGGAGCCTGGCTTGTTGGACACAGCCTGCCTTTGGTGTGTTAGGATATGGGTTGGCATGTGGTCTACACTTTGTTGATGGCTACAAATACTATACCAAGGAACGTGGTTTTATTTTATAGCTATTAGGGAACCCCCAGGAATAAAACTGGAGGTTTAGAAGATTGATCTAGACCGAAGTCAAGGAGACTAAGGTGCCCAGACAAGAGCTAGGGCAGCATAATAACGACAGCGATAGTAAAATGGCAGCAGCAAGTGCTGTTTTACTTACTGAATTTAAAGGTCCTGAAAGATCATAGAATAGGGCCTCCCCGGTGGCGCAGCAGTTGAGCGCTGGGTTGCGAAGCTGCCCGCAGCCTCTACAGCGCCGGTTCGATCCCCGGCTGCTCCCCGGCCACTGGAAGAGGGTCCCACATGGCGCGCAGACCTCTCCTGCCGCCCGCTGCTCCCCTCAGCAGTGTACTTCGGTCCTTCTGCCTGCTCTGCTCCCCGCTCTGGCTCTGGTGAATTCTCTCACCCTCCCGTGCTTCTGACTGTACCCAGTGCTTGTATAAATAAATAAATAAATAAATCTTTAAAAAAAAAAAAAAAAGATCGTAGAATAGACCCTAAGCATAGGGCCTTGTACAGTCCAGGGTGCCTCAGACACATAGACAGGACCATGGTGGGGGTAATGTGTAACGCTTCAGACGGAGGATTTTAGACTGATTTCATTGGCTATATAATTTTTGATGAAATAAAGTGCATTATGAAGGATGTTTGGAAATCACTGAGTTTGAAATCCCCGAGCCTGCTTTTTCCCAAGAATATCTCAGACATGGAGTCAGAAGCCCCGTCACAAAAGAGCACCTCTTCTGTTATTGGGCAGGATACACAGTCCTCCTGCCCTGCCTATGAGGGAACATAGCCATCCTGAGTTGCTATTTTATAGGAAATTTTGTGGCATTAACTTCCAGCTTTTAAGGAGCCACCATAATTTCCAGTTCCACTGTTTTTCTTACAACTGAAAGGAGTTTAAAACTGTGTGCTAGTTTATTAGACACAATCAAAGGGTGGATGGAGGGTTTTTAACAGAAAGTCTTAGGTTTTAAGATATTTTGTTGAAGAATTATGTAATGAATAAACAATTGTAATAAATATGTCTAAATATCCCTTTCTGAATATCCTTCTAATCAGAAGATGTGTGCTTTCTAGTTCCATGGATTTATGGCTTGAAATTGACCTTTGCATTTTGTGTTAACTTGAGAAAACTTGAGAATATATTTTTTAAAGTTAGTAGGCAGTGAGAGTCTGCTTCAAACTGTTAGAAATATTGTTATGCTACTCACAATTTTTTCTTTTTCCTTTTTTTTGTCTCTAGCTACATTATTGAGCAGGGGGTATGTTACTTGGTTTTGTGTGAAGCTGCCTTCCCTAAGAAGCTGGCTTTTGCATACCTGGAAGACCTGCACTCAGAGTTCGATGAGCAACATGGGAAGAAGGTGCCCACTGTGTCGAGACCCTATTCCTTTATTGAGTTTGGTACGTTTTTGCACCTCTGTCACCAGAGCAAATGACACAGAGAAGCTTTGTTACACTGAGAATTTTAACATCTTTTCTGATGTTTGCTTACTAAAGTTTTGAATTCTGTCTCTTTTAACATTCTGTGGCCTTTTGTCATTTTGAATAAATTGAGGCTTCCTCTTCCTCACCTTGAATCCTCTGGTTTTTACTTGCTACCCTTTGCCTTCTTGTTACTTTGTTTGATTCTTCATTAGGGCTGTGTGTATCAACAACTGTGCCTAATGATCTCCTTGGTTGGCATGTGATACCTGAAGTTATTCTACACACACACAAACACACACAGTATCAGAAAATGCTTGGGCAATATTTCTCAACCTTCTAATTGATAAAGTCATTCTTTTGCCCTGTCAGGCCATAGCAATGCTAGATTGTTGCCAGGAAACATGTCAAGTAACGAAATCAGTTCAAATAGAGTCTGGAAATTTCTGCTTGAGAAAGCTTACTCTAACAGGCCTCAGTTTCTCTCAGGTATTTCTGGTTTGAAGGTGTGCAGGTGGCAGATATTCTGATTTGAAGGTGTGCTGAGGGTATTTCTCCTGAATGGTCATCTGCTTATGTATATATAGATTTCAAATGAAGAATGCAAAATTCAAATTTTGATACGCAGGAGCTTGAGTAAGCATGGGGGTTTGTAGAGCCAGAACTAAGCACAGGACTCCATTCTCTACCTGACTACCTGGATGATGTGGGAGGTTTGCTCACGGTTACTCTCTCCTTGTAGATACTTACATTCAGAAAACCAAGAAGCTCTACATTGACAGTCGTGCTCGGAGAAACCTCGGCTCCATCAACACTGAACTGCAGGATGTGCAGAGGATCATGGTGGCCAATATTGAAGAGGTGTTACAACGGGGAGAAGCCCTCTCAGGTATGTGAAAACAGTGAGGCTTACGAAGAAGCGGTTGTCCTTCTGTGTGCAAGGATAGCTTATTTGGGGGGGACGTGATTAATTTTTGTGTGCCGGGACAGTGTAGTCTCCCATTCATAAAAAGCAATTACTGTTCCTAAGATATTTATTAAATTGGGTAAATATTTACAGAAACACATATGTTAAGGGAAATGAAAAGAAGAAAGAGGAAATTACAAAAATTTATTGCAGTGGTTTCCTGAGTAGCCACTTAGGGAGACTTTACTGCTGAGCTATGTAATGTTTTTAGCACATAACGAGGGGTGTGTGTGTGTACTTATTTGCCTAGTTTATCTTTAAAATATATTTACCTAATATTTAAATGTTACCTAAGTGTTCCACATGGGCATGTACTTTAAAGGGTAGTATCTAATTGTTTCATATCTATTTTATATGTTTCATTTCTCTCACAGTAATGATCACAAGTGGATGCCTTAATGAGTATTTCTTGAATTTAGCTGTGTTACATATTCATGAGTAAATGGGTTTTCTTTTATTATGAACCGCAAATTTTAATCTTTATGTTAGTTGTCCCTGCCTACGGCTTCGTACTTTTTTAATATCAAATTTGGGTGAATGAGACTGTAAATTTTCAGTGTAAAAGGCTGACATTTTCTACCTGGGATAAAGTAGGCCAGTTCAGGTATTTTTCTTCAATTCAAAATTTAAATATTGCTCAGCTTATCAAAAGTGTAAAAGGATTCTCTTCTGGGGCTTTGCTCAGCTTATCAAAAGTGTAAAAGGATTCTCTTCTGGGGCTTTGCTGGTTGCTGCAAAGCTGATACACTAATTGAAAAGGAAGGGCATTTCCTCCCTTAACTCAACCTCAGCTGGTTGGGAAGTTAAACAAAGTTATAGAGCAACTAATAGTGGAATGGAGTAAGTATCAGTGGTATGTTTACTTTGAGTTAGGCACTATGCTAGGGATTTCACCTATGGTTTTTTTAATTCTTTAGCGTAATATCTTGTAACAAAGGTGATATACTAGTTTTATAAGTATAGAAACAGAGACTCAGAAAAGTTAAGCAGCCCACTGAAAATCAGACTGCTAGTACCTGGCAGAATTTGTTCTGGAATCCTTTTCCATCTTCTGTGTATACTTTTAAACAAACACAGACAGAAGTGCTATAAACACATAGAATGAAATAGCTGAACATGAACAGAAAGAATTTTTGATTTTAGGTGGACGGTGGAATGAAGAATGGAATTTTAAGAGGAGGAAAAAGCACATCTGAGCAGAGCGTATTTGAAAGACAGTGAAAAGAATAGCCTACTCCAAGGAGTTTCCTTCCTCTTTAAGCTTCGTAATAAGAATCCATTTTTTTATGCCTTTCTAATTACTAAAGTTTTAGAACTAGTCTACATTTGAGATGCAAGGATAGTTCATATGGGTTCTTTCCGCAAGATACAAATTATGCTTTTTTTTTTTTTGCTCCTTAAATATACCCGTTTCTTTTAAACCTTGGGTTTTGTTTTGTTTTTTTATTTAAAGTTGTCACCATAATAGATAAAAAATTCCACAGAGGCAGGGACCATGCTGTTTCGATGACCATTGTATCGTCTCACACTTTGCTTGGTGCCTAGAACATAAATATTTGCTCAATGACTTTTTCAAGCTATAGCTTTATCTTTATATGTTTTAGAGTGTTCCTATGTAGAGAAATTTTCTTACTGTTACTTATTTTATATGCCCTAATAATTGTTCCTCTGCCCAGTCATTCTCCACAGGTTCAGATTCATTCAGCAAACACTTGTAGAGCATTAACTATATCCAGGTCCTGTTCTAAGCCCTGGGGAGATGTAGCAATAAACATAGTAGTTAAAAACCTCTATCCAGTGGAATATGCGCTTTAGTACACTGACTGGGAAGGTTCCTTGCAGCATTGTCATGGTTATTTCTCACCCCCACCTCCCCCCAGTAAGAAAACATACTTACATGACTAGGTGTTTTTCTTGCAGGACAAGTTGCCAATTTAGAAATGCTGTCATGCCTGTGTTACTAAGTAATACCGCATTTCTCAATCAAAACCAGTTTTTGTTAAGCAACATCAAATATTCCAAAAGCATTTTCCAGGGAAGAAAGAACATTCAGATGCAAAATAGTTTGTCACATATTTAGAGAAATGGAAAGTGTGGTCAGAATTCATGAATGTCAAACTCAAGCTTGTTTTTATTATTTAAATTGCCCCGTATTTTAGTCCTGTTGAGCTTGTGTCTATCTGGCTATTTCTTTTTCTTTTTTTTTTTTTTTTTAAGATTTATTTATTTATTTTATATAAGAACCAGGGTGCAGGCCAGATGTGCAGGAGGGTGAGAGGATTCACCGGAGACAGAGTGGGGAACAGAACAGGCAGACTGACAAAATACACTGCTGAGGGGAGCAACAGGTGATACAGGAGAGGTCTGCCACTCCATGTGGGTATCTCCTTGGTCAGCGAGGATCGAGCTGGCACTGCAGAGGCTGCAGACAGCTTCACAGCGCTGCGCTCAACCGCCTGTTCCACCAAGGAGGCCCTACCTGGCTATTTCTCTAAGTGGTCAATTAACAATTATTAAAGGATCACAACATTACAAATGTCCTTATAGAAACAAAAAAAAACTTTGTTAGAAGATATTAAAAAGCTTAATTTAGTAGATATTAGTGGTTTTCTTGCATCCACGTTTGTATTTCAGTTACAGTACAACTTTTCTGTGTCTATAAAAGTAGTATTTCTAATAGCTTTATTTTCATTATAGCCTTTATTGTGGAAAATCTTAGAAATATAGTAGTAGTCATCATGAAATATAGCTTAGTACTCAGTGTATAAGAGAATCTAATTTAGAATTAGAATTAAATTAGAATCTAATTTAGAATTAGAATTAAATTAGAATCTAATTTCTAATTTAGAAAGCTTGTAACGATGATTGTCAGCTGACATTTGTCAAGTGTTTGCCATAGGCAGGCATTGCCCTCACTTTACAGGCATTCTTGAACTTACAGTCCCATAGTGTAGTTACTGTTTTTATCCCATTTTGTAGAAGAAACTGGGTCCTAGAGAGACCAAATGAGTTGACCAGCATCACATGATTGGTGCAACTGATATGTGAACCAGGGTCTGAGACCAGTGCTGTGCTCCTAACTCCTTCACTGCATAGCCTCAAGAATTTGCACAGTTTGGTCTGGGGATTTTCAAATGCCTTGTAGATGCTTCAGGACCGTGAGTTGTTGGTATACGGAACCTAACCCTTGAAACAAAAACGATAATTTGAACTTCATGATTGTTTGACATAGTGCCACTCATTTTCATTATGTTTGCGTCTTAATATATTTCATACAATACTTCCAGGGACTAATGAATGTTTTTCTTTTTTCCTTTTTGACAGCATTGGATTCAAAGGCTAACAATTTGTCCAGCCTGTCCAAGAAATACCGCCAGGATGCGAAATACTTGAACATGCGTTCCACGTATGCCAAACTTGCAGCAGTAGCTGTATTTTTCATCATGTTAATAGTGTATGTGCGGTTCTGGTGGCTGTGAGTAGTGAATCCAGTCACTGGCAAGGGCGAACCTAGAACCTGGCAAGTGTATGTTTTCAGGAAGCTGAGCTCACAGAGATGTGTATTAGAATCCAAGTGGAACTTCTGCCTCTAAAGACCTTGCAAGAAAAGATCCTGAAAATGAAAGGTTACACCTCATTTAATGATGCTTAACCCTAAGTGGAAAGTCTCTTTTGGGGGCAGAGGCTTTCTCTGGGTGCTAAGCCATATATGTTAGGGAACAGTAGATTGTTTTTATTTTGTTTTTTCCCTCCCAGTGTCTTACAGTTTAAAACAGCCCTGACTGGGGCATTCTCAGTCTCTAATGGAGCCATCAGTGAGATTTGGCTTAAACAACCTGTTTAAGTCACATTCTGAAATTCATTCAGAGGAGGCAGCCCTCTGGAAAGGTTTTCAACTCTAGCTAATCAACATTCCTTTTGTTGGTGACATTTGTGATTTTCAGTAATCTGAGTCTTTTGATGGCCTTTTAAACAAGACTCCAGTATGTGAAGGTTAATTGCTGTGCTGCAAAGATCTTGTCTGTTGGCCCCTGTAGGAAGTTAATCTTTATTGTTTTCCTTTTTAACTACTTTGCTTATTGCACAATTGCTTTAAGGTTAAAGGAATTATATTAAGATGCCTTGAAATTATATTATAGCACTCCTTGATTAAGAAACTAAAACGCTCTTTGTCATTTACTCCTTAAAATACTTAAATTAGTTTGGGACATTCTTAATTTTATTTTTCAGCAGGTGGTTTATATTAACATAAGAGTGACTGTGGCATACAGATAGCCAGAGGCCCCTGACCTAATTAGAAAGGCCCAGCTCAGAACAACAACGTTGGCCTGCCCCTTCCTTTCTTTCTCCACTACAGTTTTCCCCACTCTTTTCCTTCTTCCACAGTTTGCTAACATTTAAATTATTCTACCATATCCCATAAGCATCCTCTCAGGATCAATTTCACAATGAAAAATGTTCAACTATGTAGTTAAATTAAAATGTTTGCTGAGCAACTGTTCTGCTACATACATTTACCTGAGGAAGCCCCTTATACCTGCTTCAGTCTGCTCAGCTTCTCTGAGAATGTTCTAGAAGTAGATAATTCATTTTCAGTAGTTTGTATTAACAAATGAAACAGCACCTATGCTTGTTACCCCTTTTTTTCTCAGGGACGATTGGGGACTTCCTTTTACTTTGTGAGGTAGAATTTTTTAAATGGGGAGAATAGGCCTTTTAAATATTGTCACAAGGGTCTACAATATAACCTTTATCTCTTACACATACTGCAGATACTTCTTTAGATTGTACAGGATAAAGAGCCAACTTCTTACTTCTCAATATCTTTGAAAAGAACTGTAGCCAGTAAGCAATTTTATAATTCTGAGGGATATCAAAGCTACTGTCCTGATGGAGAAAATAAATCCTATTTCCTTATTAACAAGGCAACAGGAAATGCTTATTATATTCCTGATAACTTACAGAACTATCATAAAAGCTTTTTTCTTTGCATTTTGGACCTAAATCTGCCAGTTGGAATTTTATGCATGAAACATGAAGTTACTTTTTATAGCAAATCAGTGCTTTTAAGCCCCTATAAGACTTGTCCCTCAGTGATGATGTTGGTAATACAGGCCCTTGAAGGGCTGAGGACCCCAGTGGTAGCACTCCAGCCGTCCGTCCGTAGGAGTGGAGAGTGGCAGCTCGTGGGCGAGAGCTGCACGCTGCAGCCAAATGGTCAGCAGTGAAATAAATACTTCTAGAATGTTCCCTCCAGTGTGTTCCCTCTAGTTATTTATGTATACATGTCCTTATTAGATACATTCCTGTTCAAACTCAATGGGTTAATTTTAAAAATGAGAGGTAGGGGTGATGAACAAAGGAACAGGAAAGTATTTTAAAATTACAACAGAAAATGGGAGGACAGGACTGCCATACAGCTCCCACATCTGTTCTTTATTGGGCAGTAGAGAGATCTGACTAGATGAAACATTAGGACTCAAAACAGGCAGCTCAAATAGTGCAGTCGTGCAGGGGGCACATGAGGAAGAGGCATAATTGACTTGGGGAAGGAAGATGACTTGTTAAATGACTTGTGCAAAGCTTTGAGTTAAAGAGTCAGGCACATTTAGGGGGATTACAGTAAGTTTGGCTCAGCTTAACTCCTAGGGTACGGTGTAGACCTGAGAAAGAACAGGACCGGTTCACTATCATAAAGGGACTTGTCTACCATGCTGCTGGGGTTAGTACTACACTATCTGTGGCAAGAGATGGCATCAGATCATATGATCTTCCTGGCCGTAGTGAAAAATTAGAGAGTGATATGTTTGGAAATAAGGAGATGAAACTAGGAAGCCATCAATGCTAGAATGAGACAGGAATCACGTGATTTTCAAGAAAGGCGTTCTCCCAGGTACAAAATAATAATATGTAATGGTTTCTGTGTTAGGAACTTACTCTCACACTGAAGTAAGAACTGTTCACACCATATGAATAAAGAGCCTTTATAAAGGATGCCACTCTCAGGCACAGAGTCAAGTAATTTGCCAGGGTGGAAAGTGATACAAGCTGAGATTTAAAATTTGGCGATTTGATTGCAGAGCCTGCTTTTCTGCACTGTGCTATTTGATCAAGAGGTCAAATAAAAGGTATCAAGAAATGTATTTTGAATACAACAATCAGGTGTTTAAGCATACAGGCAGAAATAATTCCAGAGAAGTACGGACAAAAGATTGCAGTGGTTTGGACTGAATAACTAGGAAGTAGGTGTGGAAATTCTGTGACAAGTAGCTTTTCTGGAAATGCCACTGAACTTCATAAAATGCTTTAAGAAGTTAAAATGTAGCAGTACACCATGACTCTTAAGCTTTTTGGAAAACCTTTGAAAATCTGATCAAAGGTATATGCCTTTATCCCCGGAAAGATGTTCATGTGTACATGTAACTCAGGTGTCACATGTTATGTCTGTGTATTTAAGAATTCCACAAAGCCTTTCCCTGACCTAGTGGTCCATGACCCCCCCAGTGAAGGACTCCAGATCTGTAGGATGTGGAATTCAGAGGTGAGTACCTGGAGGCCTGGAAAACTGTCCAGCTGTGGCGGATTAGAAGGATTCTACAGTTTGGACTAACATTGTGGAGGAGATACATTATTGAAAAAAGAGTTGTGGTAATTTTCCTCTAGGGTACTCAGGGATCTGTGTCCCAGTTCCTCAAAGTCACATTTAAGGATCTTAAAATTTATATATATTTTCTGCTTTTTTCAGTAGAAGTCTTCCACAAGCAAGTTAAAAGGGCAAATGGATAATCATTTCTGCACACACATTGAAAATACATCTATAAGAAAACATCTCAATTCCCATCTTACTGGGAGGTTTTATGACTAAGCTCTTGACTGTTGGGTGGCCACATAATTAAGACTTTTGGTTAGTGTATTTAACAGGACAAACAATGCCACTAGGTTGTCTTTTCAGACAGCTCAGCAAAAAAGCAAAGAGCAGAGGTTAGAAAAGTTATAAATGTTACTGTTTCCAATAATAGCACATTTACAATTGGACCAAGTAATTTGTAAAGTTTCCCAAAGAAGCGTGTGTGTAGGGTAGCAAATTGAATAGGGTAGCAAATTGGATCGCGTTATCTATTCTTACTCATTACTGTCAAGCAGGATTGACCTAACAGTCATACTATCTTGAGCTGTTTAATCATTCAATTCTAATAAAGTTTATTTCAAGTGGTGTACCTGAATTCTCTTTTCAGATTAGCAAAATTATTGGAAATTTGACCCCCACATGCTAAGCAAGACTGGACTCATTTTTTTCTCCCATAATCATAAATACCATGTAGCAGGCATTTTACAGGTAGTATCACAATGCTCACAGCAGCTTGCCCAAGTCACATGGCCGGTTAAAATACTTAGATTCAAATCCAGGGCTGCTTGGCACCTCGCAGTACACAGCAATGTTCACTGAAACTAAATAATGGTGGGGATGTGTGTTTTAGGCACTGGCATTTCACTTTGTGCTATTACTAGTTTGCTTTCAGACGACAGCCATTGTTTCTATGATTTCATTTTACTGTTCAGCCCCTTTTCATTCTCTCATGTCTCCCTTGTTTACTTTTTTTTTTTTTTTTGAGTCTTTTTTTTTTTTAACATTTTATTTTTTTGCATAGAAGAGCTGGAGTATAGGACAGAGGTACAGAGGGTGAGAGGATTCACCAGAGACAGAGTGGGGACCAGAACAGGCAGATCTACTGAAATCCACTGCTGAGGAGAGCAGCGGTGAGACAGGAGAGGTCTGCTGCACCAAGTAGGTCAGACCCCAGGCTGGGGATCGAACTCAGGCCCTAGCAATGATAGTGCTGAGACTTAACCCCTAGGCCACCAGGGAGGCCTCACCCCCTTGTTTACTTAATTTTTTTTTTTTGCTCTTGAATTCTTGTATGCCTTTTCTCATCCTACATTTGTAATGTCATTTCTTATTTGCTTCTTTTTCATTTGATTTCAATCTTTATCTACATCTGATTCACATAGGGCCTAGCAAAGTTTTTTGTTGTTGTTTTTTTTATCTGCCTTCCCCACCTCACATTTTTTAATCCCTTTTCATTTTACTTCTTTATTTTCCTAGATGCTATTTTTATTTAGTAGTTAATGCTACGGCTTTGTTTCTGTAAGTGAGAGAGTCAAAATCAACATTCATATTTACGATTTCTTTTCAGACCTCAATTTACCTTTTGATAATTTTATACTATTCTCTAGTCTCTTTTTAATCAATGCAGTTATGTTCCCGCTTTAAGGTATCCCTGTATAAAAAAACACACTGCAAGATTTCTTCCAAGAACAAACTTGTACTTTGTCTTCTGTGTTTAGAGAATCGACTTATATTACTGGTAACGTGTGCTACTGGTAACTCTGAAATATACCTGACTTCCTCAGACTTGAGTTACAGACCTCAGTTTTTTGCTACTTAACTGGCTGTCTGTGTTTGACTATTCCAGACACTTCAGTGCCCTGAAACGCGACCTCCCTTCCATTACTCAAAAAGCAAGGCCTGACCTGTGCTCCCTACTGTATTTTCAAGTTTTACCTAAACTTCAAGTCATGAAATTACAGTTGGCTTCTGTATTTTCTCCTTCTGCCTTTCAACTGGTAACTAAAATCCGTTTTCCATAACTGCCTGCCTGTGTCTCACCATCACTTCCTTTTTGCCTTATTTCAGGCATTATTTGGACTCCTGTCCTTAACTCCTTTCCTTATACGTCACCCTCTTTCAGCTCAGCAGCACCATATTCATAACATCAGGAATTTTCCTAAAGAGCTGATCACACCCCCACTTCATATAGAACAAAAGGTCACACACTCCAGCCCGCCTTCCATCATCTGGCCCATCGCACCATCCTGGACGCATCAGCCCCTCCCCACCGCCACCTTGTTTGGGCCACAGCAAGTTGTCAAGCCTTCTCTCACCATTTTATGTTGTGCCTAGTTTATTCTGTATCTTTACCATCCTCCGCTTTCTACCTCCAAAACCTGCTCACCTTCCAAAGACCCGGGTCTAACATTTCCTTTATAAAGCCTCCGGCACCTTCACATCCTCCTCACCAACCTGGGAGAAGTTACGGTTTCATCCTCCCTTGGCGACTTGTTCATATCGCGTAGAACCTACCAATGTAAAATCATTGTCGTCGTGTATTTGTTTATCTCCTTGGCTA